TGCCCTTCAACAGACGAATGGATAAAGAGGATGTGGTCCATATATACAATGGGATATTATTCAGCCATCAGAAAGGATGAATACCCACCATTTGCATCGACATGGATGGAACTGGAGGGGATTATGCTACGTGAAATAAGTCAATTATCATATGGTTTCACTCATATGTGGAACATATGTGGAACATAAGGAATAGCACAGAAGACCATAGGGGAAGGGAGGGAAAACTGAAGGGGGGGAAATCAGAGAGGGAGACAAACCATGAGAAACTCTCAGCTCTGGGAAACAAACTGAGCATTTCAGAAGGGAGTGGGGTGGATGGGGTAGCCAGGTGATGGGTATTAAGGAGAGCATGTGTTGTGATGAGCACTGGGTGTTATATGCAGCTATTGAATCATTGAATACTACATCAAAAACTAATGATGTACTATATGTTGGCTAACTGAACATAATAAAAAAAATTTTTAAAAAGAATAGAATACCTAGGAATAAATCTAACCAAGGAGATGAAAGGTCTGTTTTCTTAAAAGTAATTTATAGGCTTTTTTTCATACTGATGAAAAAAATTGAAGATACAAATAATTGGAAAGATATTCTGTACCCATGGATTGGAAGAATCAATATTATTAAAAAGTCCATACTACCCGAAGCAATCTACAGTTTCAGTGCAATTCCTATCAAAATTTTAATGACATTTTTCACATAACTTGAACAAATAATATCAAATTTCTATGGAATCACAAAAGACCCCAAATAGCCAAAACAATCTTGAGAGAGACAAACAAAGCCAGAGGTATCACATCCCCTGATTTCAAACTATATTACAAAGTTATAGTAATAAAATAGTGTGGTTTTGGCATAAAAATGGACACATAGATCAATGGAGCAGAATAGAGCCCAGAAGTAAACCCATGCATATATGGTGAATTAATTTATGACAAAGGAGGCAAGAATGCACAACAGAGAAAGAACAACCTCTTCAGTAAATGGTGTTGAGAAAACTGGAGAGCTACATTCAAAACCATGAAATTGGACCACTATCTTACATAGCATATAAAAATCAACTCAAAATAGGGGTGCCTGGGTGGCTCAGTTGATTAACTGTCCCACTCTTGATTTCAGCTCAGGTCATGATCTCAGGGTCATGAGATCAAGCCCCATGTTGGGCTTCCGGCTTAGCGGGGAATCCGCTTGAGACTCTTTTCCTCTCCCTCTGCCCCTCCCCTGCCTCACACCCATGTGCTCTCTCTCTCAAAAATAAATAAATAAAATCTTAAAGGAAAAACATTCCTTCTCTCCTTCCACTTCTCCCCCCCATTCATGTTCTCTCTCAAAAAAAATCAGGGGGGCCTGGGTGGCTCAGGCTGTTGAGCAGCTACCTTCGGCTCAGAGCATGATGCCAGGGTCCTGGGATCGAGCCCTGCATTGGGCTCCTTCCTCAGTGGGGAGCCTGCTTCTCCCTCTCCCTCTGCCTGCCATTCCACCTGCTTGTGCTCTCTCTTTCTGTCTCTGTCAAATAAATAAATAAATAATATTTTCAAAAAAATCAACTCAAAATAGATTAAAGACTTGAATGTAAGACTTGAAATCATAAGGTGCTAGAAAAAAACATAGGTGGTAAGCTCCTTGACATTGGTCTTAGCAATTTTTTTTCTGTGACTCCAAAGACAAGGGAAACAAAAGCAAAATTAAACATATGGGAATATTTCAAATTAAACAGCTTCTGTACAGGAAAGAAGACCATCAAAAAATGAAAAGACAAATTACAGAGTGGAAAAAGATATTTGCAAATCATATATCCAATAAGGGGTTAAAATCCAAAATATATACAGAACTCATACAATCTATTAACAAACAAACAATCACTAAAACATAGGCAAAGGATGTGAATACACATTTTTTAAAGAAGACACACAGGTGGCCTACAGGCACATGAAAAAATGCTCAACATCACTAAACATCAGGAAAATGCAAATCAAAAACACAATGAGATAACACCTTACACCTGTCATACTAGTTATTATGAAAAAGATAACAATAGGTGTTGACAAGTATGTGGAGAAAAGGGAACTCTTGCACACTGTAGGTGGGAATATAAATTGATATAGACATTATGGAAAACAGTGTGGAGATTCCTCAAAAATTAAAAATACTGGGGCACCTGGGTGGCTCACTCAGAGTGACTCACTCTTGGTATTGGCTCAGGTCATGATCTGAGGGTCATGAGATTGAGACCCACATCAGGTTCTGCAGTCAGCATGGAGTCTGCTGGAGATTCTGTCCCTCTCCCTCCACCCACTTGGGCACTCTCTCTCAAATAAATAAATAAATAAATAAATAAATAAATAAATAAATAAATAAAATCTTTTTAAGAAATTAAAAATAGAGCTATCATATGACCAGTAATTCCATTTCTTGGTGTTCATCCAAAGAAAACAAAATCACACTTTGAAAAAATATGTGCACCCTTATGTTTGTTGCAGCATTGTTTACAATAGCCAAGATACAAAAACAACCGTAAAGTCCATCCATGGATGAATGGATAAGGAACATGTGACATGTATATAAAATGGAATACTACTCAGCCATAAAAACAATGATATTTTGCAACAGCATGGATAGACATTGAGGCTAAGTGAAGCAAGTCAGACAGAGACAAATTCTGCATGATTACACTTACATGTGGAATCTCAAGAAACAAACAAACAAAAGAAAACAAAATCCAGACTCCTAGATACAGAAAACAGATTAGTTGTTGCAAAAAGGCAAGGGTTTGGGGGGCAAGGCAAAATGGGTGAAGAGGATTAAGAAGTACAAGCATCCATTATAAAGTAAATCATGGGGATGTAATGTGCAGCACGAGCAATATAGTCAATAATATTGAATTAACCTTGGAAAGTGACAGATGGTAACTAGGCTTATTGTGGTGACAGTTTTGCAATGTATATAATTGTCAAGTCATTGTGCTGTACACCTGAAACTAATGTGATATTTTATGTCAATTATTCCTCAATATAAAATATTAACTTTTTTGAGCATACAATAAAATAAGTAGATTTTAAGGTGGACCTTGATGAGTTTTGTTTCATAAACACCACCATTTTAGCTTGGCCACTATAACAAAATACTAAAGACTGGGTGGCTTCTTTCTCACAGTTGTGGAGGTAGGAAGTCCAAAATCAAGTCACCAGCAGGTTCATTGTCTTGTGAGGGCACTTCTTGCTTCACAGATGGTTCCTCTTGCTGTAAAGCCATGTGCAGAAGAGGTGAGAGATCTCTCTGGGGCCTCTTTTACAAAAACAGGAAAGAGCTGTTGCTGAGGGCTGAAATCCCATTCCTGAGGGCTCCATCCTCATGACCTAATCACCTTCCACTGGCCCCACCTCTTACTACCATCATGCTGGGGTTTAGGATTTCAATCCATGCATTTTGCAGGGACACAAACATTCAATTCACAGCACACCCCCATCAAGATACACAAGTTTCCTGTCACTGGGGAAATTTCCCTCGATTCCTCCATTGCCACAGCAGGAAACTACTGATTTAAGTTCTAGTCTCAGGGGCGCCTGGGTGACTGAGTCTATTAAGCATCTGTCTTCGGCTCAGGTCATGATCCCAGGGTACTGGGATCAAGCCCCGAGTCTGGCTTCTGCTCAGCAGAGAGTCTTCTTCGTCCTCTCCCTCTGCCCCTCCTACCTACTCGTATTCTCTCCCGCATCTCTGCTCTCTCTCTCAAAAAATAAATAAAAAATCTTAAAAAATTATAATCTCATAAATTAAGCCTATCCTAGGTTATTCCAGATTGATTCAAATTAAATCTTATATTAACTTCCTTTGGTATGATTCTTTCTGTCATCACCATACCTGTAAGATAAATCCACGTTCTTACATGGATCAAAAGTTAGTTCTGATTTAAGAGGGATTATTCCACTGGATGAATATGCCAGTTTGTTTATTCATTTATCTGTTAAGTGCTGGTTGTTTATTCCCAGTTTGTGGAATAAATTCATGAGTCCCGTTGCTCTGGACATTCATATACTAGTCTTTGTGGGTAATTTCCTAGGGCCAGGAATGCTGGGATGTAGGGTAGATACAAGTTTAACTTTATAAGAAATGATTGTTACATTGTATATATATACCACATTTTCTTTATCCATTCATCTGTTTATGGACATCTTGGCTCTTTCCATAGTTTGGCTAAAAAAAAAAGAAAGAAAGAAACGATTGTTACAGACACTAATTGTTCTACTCATGACCTCTATTTAGTTTCTTCCCACCAATCATCCCAAGTGCACTCAATTGTTGTAAAGTATGAGAGAATCTAATTCTTTCCTCAGAACTCTTTGAAGAAGCTTCCGTTTCTTCTCCATCCTCTATTTTAATTACCTATTGATCCTTTATGCCATTTAAGTTTGAGAAAGAAAAGTCCTTCCCTCACTGAAAATGCCACCAAATGCACTTATTCTTCCCCTGAGACTTCTCCAAGAGACCATGGGACTTAAAGCCCAGGTATACACACTACTGTTCCCAATCCCTCCCATTTTTTTCTCTTCTCTAGGTCCCTTGGGTAAGGACACCCAGCTCACTGAGCACAGCTCCCCTGATGAGCACACCATTATTACATAATAGCTCCCCACCCCCTCTCTGGGGAGGCCGTGCCCCCAGTCCCTCTTTGCTCTCCTCAGGACTGCCTGCTAGAAATGTTGCCATTTGGGGGGTCATCTTGCCTACCTCCCACCCGACTGCATCTTCTGGCATCACAGGCTCCTTCACTCATGGGACTTGCCTGGGCCCGGGCCCACTTGACAGGTGATCTCAGGCTGCCTCTGCTCTGGCTACTGCTGTCCCCAGTTTGCTGCTCCCATGCCCTCCCAGGATGGCGCTTCACTTCCTCTGAAGTTGTGATCCCCAGGAAGGTGTCCCACAGGGTGGGTGGAACTGAGAGACGAGACCAGCTCTCCTATAAGATTCACTTCAGTGGCCAAAGACATGTGATTCACATGAGAATCAAGAAGAACCTACTGCCCAGACATTTTCCTGTTATCACCGATAATGATCAGGGTGCCATGGAGGAGGACTACCCCTTTGTCCCTCGAGACTGCTACTACTACGGCTACCTGGAAGGGGTTCCCGGCTCCATGGGAACACTGGACACCTGCTATGGGGGTCTGCGTGGCATGCTGCAGTTGGATGACTTCACTTATGAAATAAAACCGCTGGAGTCTTCTTCCAAATTTGAGCATGTGGTTTCTCTGCTTGTGTCAGAAAGAAGATCGTCAGAGGCTGAAAGGTGTAAGATTGAAGAGCAAGATACAAATCAAGAATACGAAGAGGCAATCCTTGCTGGAACTCCTAGAGCAGCTCCCGTGTATTTGTGGTGGCCACATAAGAAATACTTTAAAATCCACTACACAGTTTCTAACTCATTATTTGCATTGAACACTAATCTCACACGTATAATCGAGAATGTAGTGATTTTGAACAACATACTACATACCATCTACAAACCAGCTCTCCTAGATGTCTACATACGTGTTTTGTGCATATGGAATGGATCAGATAAGATGGATTTATATGACTACACAAACATTGGACGAACCATGACTGATTTTGGTTTGTGGAAATACTGGGGTTGGTATAATCACATTATTCATGACACTTCGCTGCTTCTTACAGGAGATAAAGTCGCTGGGGCCTCATATTATGGCCAGTACAATGGAGTGTGCAACCCCAACTGGGGTGTGGCATATCTATATATGGCAAGATACCACATATTTTGGGCTGCAGCTGTTGCAGCACATACCCTAGGTCATAATTTGGGCGTTAATCATGATAAACCCGGTTGTTTTTGCTTTCGAAGAGAGCACTGCATCATGGCTCCTGAGCCTGATTTATTGGATATGATGAGCAATTGTACTTATGAAAGAATACATTACAAGCTCACTATATGGGATCCTTGTTTGAGCATGCCAAATACACCGTACACCAATTTTCCTTATGTAGCTGCTCGTTGTGGTGACTTGGTCGTAGATCAGAGGGAAGAATGTGACTGTGGCTCCTTAAAACAGTGTTCTTGGAATAAGTGTTGCAAGACCAATTGTATCCTCTCCCTTGGCAGTGATTGCAATGGAGGACCCTGCTGTGTTAAATGCAAATATGCTCAACCTGGATTGCTTTGCAGAGATATGCTTGGTATTTGTGACCTCCCAGAATACTGTGATGGTAAATCTCATAATTGTCCTAATGACGTTTACACCCAGGATGGAACCCCATGTTCAGCATTGGCTGTCTGCGTGAAAGGAAACTGCAGTGATCGTGATATGCAATGCCAATCCCTCTTTGGCTACCAAATAAAAGATGCTGCACCAGTATGCTATGAAAAATTGAATGTACTAGGTGACCGATTTGGGAACTGTGGGGTGAAGGTGATACGAGGAGGAGGAAAACCTGTGAAATGTGAAGAGGATGATGTTCTTTGTGGAATGCTGCATTGTCGTAATGTCCAAGAAATTCCTGGTGGAGGTGACCACACTACGTTTCGTCATATAATAGTACGTGATATTAAGGAAGAGTTATGCTTTGGATACGATGCACACCATGGGACAGATCTGCCAGAAATGGGGCTTGTCGTGGATGGGGCAACATGTGGCCCAGGAAAATACTGTTTTCAACAGAATTGTACTTTTTTTCAAGACATGGGGTTTGACTGTGATGTCAAGACATGCAATTTCAGAGGGGTGTGTAACAACAAGAAACATTGTCACTGTATGAGAGGTTGGAAACCCCCATCTTGTGAAGAGAGGGGACCCGGTGGTAGTATAGATAGTGGTCCTCCACCTGACAGAGAATATGGTCTTCGAGCCAAAATAATTCTTAATATAAACCAGGCATTGCTTCTACTGATTTTTCGCTTAATTGCTTTACTGATTTCAGGCATCATTGGTGCCTTTCATCATTTAGAAGAGAAGACAGAAGTGGCTAAAAAATAGCAATTACCTACACTCAAGTAAAATACTGACTGGAGTGCACCAGATGGAGAAAATCATATTGGCATGTACTAGGAGAAAAGACGAGAATCACTCTGATGATTACATAATCCTATAGCTACTCTGAGGTTGTCATCTTAAAATAAAATGACTTGACAATTTAACATGAGGTCTGTGGGGTTAAATTTATGTTACATGTCCTCTCTAGTCATATTCTTCCTATTCCTACAGATGATAGTAGAGACTCTTAAATACATTAAGATGTGGATTCCAGTGTTTTACAGATGCCCGTGGAGGAAACCTTGTTTGCACTGGGATGCACTTGTTTTATTTTATTTTTTTTTAAGATTTTTATTTATTTATTTGACAGAGAGAGACACAGTGAGAGAGGGAGCTCAAGCAGGGGGAGTGGGAGAGGGAGAAGCAGGCTTCCCACGAAGCAGGAAGTCCGATGTGGGGCTCGATCCCAGGACCCTGGGATCACGCCTAGCCGAAGGCAGACGTCCAACAACTGAGCCACCCAGGTGCCCCAGGATGCACTTGTTTTAACCAGTTATTGGACCATTTCCCAATTGGTTATATACTAGATTTCTGTTCTTTGTTCATTTTATTGGTCCTGCTAAACAAATAGCATTCAAAGTGATAGTTGGAAGATACAGTAGGACTGTAAGAACTTTTCCGTCAAGGCACAGGGGTGCCAACAGATCTGCCACCTGCCAAGGATGCACTCTTGCACAAAGTCTTAGGCCGTGACAGTTTCAAGGTCCATGTAACATTGGAAGATGAAATGCACTTGGCCAGGAGTTTGTAATGATCAAAAGAAAGCACCCAAGAAGGGCCTGGAAAAAGTAAGGCACTTAGTACATGCCATTACTCTCATTATTACTCTTGGGCTATGCTCAACCTGAGGTATTGCAGTGTAATGAGTTTGGCGTGGTGTCTTTATTAGAAATAAAACCATCACAGGAGGAACCGTTGATCACTGACTGATCTATCACTGCTTAAGGCGTCTGGTTATTGAAGTCATAGTAACTCACATTTAAAATCTTAGGAATTGCCTGAGCACAGCCTGTCTGTAAAGTACAGGGTGGACCTGACTCTCTGATACATGTACAGAGAAAAAATTTACACAAAAGGTAACAGGAAGTGGTCGCTTCTGAGATCGTGCAAGAGAAGGAGAAGAGGGTTTCATAAGGGACATATGGTACATTTCTGCTATGTACATGCCTCAGGCCTCAGATCCAATTTCTTTTGGAAGATAAGCAGTCCAGGTGAGAATAGCACCAAAGGGGCGGGGAAGTTCATTCTACTTTTGTTTCCCTTGCCTTTGGAGACGTGTCTTTTTTTTTTTTTTTTTTAAGATTTTATTTATTTATTTATTTATTTGAGAGAGTGAGAATGAGAGAGGGCGAGCACGTGAGGGGGGGAGGGTCAGAGGGAGAAGCAGACTCCCTGCTGAGCAGGGAGCCCGATGCGGGACTCGATCCCAGGACTCCAGGATCATGGCCTGAGCCAAAGGCAGTCGCTTAACCAACTGAGCCACCCAGGCGCCCCTGGAGACATTTCTTGAAAGAATTTGCTGTGGCCAATGTCGAAGAGGTTACTGCCTATTATCCCCTCTGGGATTTTGATGGATTCCTGTCTCCCATTGAGGTCTTTCATCCATTTAGAGTTTATCTTTGTGTATAGTGTAAGAGAATGGTCCAGGTTCATTCTGCATGTATCTGTTCAATTTTCCCAGCACCATTTATTGGAGAGACTGTCTTTCTTCCGTTGGATATTCTTTTCCTGCTTTGTCTAAGATTAGTTGACCGCAGAGTTGAGGGTCCATTTTTGGAGTCTCTATTCTGTTCCATTGATCTGTGTTTCTGTGTTTGTGTCAGTATCATGCTGTTTTGGTGATCACAGCTTTGTAATGTAGCATGAAGTCAGGCAACGTGATGCCCCCAGCTTTGTTCTTCTTTTTCAACATTCCCTTGGCCATCCAGGATCTTTTCTGGTTCCATACAAATTTTACAATTATTTGTTCCAGCTCTGTGAAACATGCCAGTGGTATGTTGATAAGGATGGCGTTGAAAGTGTAGATTGCTCTAGGCAGCACAGACATTTTTAAAAAATTTTATTATGTTATGTTAATCACCATACATTACATCATTAGTTTTGATGTAGTGTTCCGTGATTCATTGTTTGCGTTTAAGACCCAGTGCTCAATTCAGTATGTGCCCTCTTTAATACCCATCACCATGCTAACCCATCTCTCCACCCCCCTCCCCTCTAGAACCCTCAGTTTGTTTCTCAGAGTCCATAGTCTCTCATGGTTCGTCTCCCCCTCCGATTTCCCACCCTTCATTTTTCCCTTCCTGCTATTTTCTTTTTTTCTTTCTTTCTTTCTTTTTTTTTTTTTTTTTTTTTGTTACCATATAATGTATTATTTGTTTCAGAGGTACAGGTCTGTGATTCAACAGTCTCACACAGTTCACAGCGCTCACCATAGCACATAACCTCCCCACTGTCTATCACCCAGGCACCCCGTCCCTCCCACCCCCACCACTCCAGCAACCCTCAGTTTATTTCCTGAGATTAAGAATTCCTCCTATCAATGAGGTCATATGATACATGTATTTCTCTGATTGACTTATTTCACTCAGCATAATACCATCCAGTTCCATCCACGTCGTTGCAAATGGCAAGATTTCATTCCTTTTGATGGCTGCATAATATTCCATTGTAGATATATACCACATCTTTATCCATTCAACTGTTGATGGACATCTTGGCTCTTTCCATAGTTTGGCGATTGTGGACATTGCTGCTATAAACATCAGGGTGCACGTACCCCTTCGGATCCCTACATTTGTATTTTGGGGGTAAATACCCAGTAGTGCAATTGCTGGGTCATAGGGTAGCTCTATTTTCCAACTTTTTGAGGAACCTCCATCCTGTTTTCCAGAGTGGCTGCACCAGCTTGCATTCCCACCAACTGTGTAGGAGGGTTCCCCTTTCTCTGCATCCCCACCAACATCTGTCGTTTCCTGACTTGTTAATTTTAGCCATTCTGACTGGTGTGAGGTGATATCTCATAGAGGTTTTGATTTGGATTTCCCTGATGCCACATGATGTTGAGCACTTTTTCATGTGTCTGCTGGCCATTCGTATGTCTTCTTTGGAAAAATATCTGTTCATGTCTTCTGCCCATTTCTTGATTGGATCATTTGTTCTTTGGGTGTTGAGTTTAAGAAGTTCTTTATAGATTTTGGATACTAGCCCTTTATCTGATATATCATTTGCAAATATCTTCTCCCATTCTGTTGGTTGTCTTTGGGTTTTGTTGACTGTTTCTTTTGCTGTGCAAAAGCTTTTTATCTTGATGAAATCCCAATAGTTCATTTTTGCCGTTGCTTCCCTTGCCTTTGGTGATGTTTCTAGGAAGAAGTTGCTGCAGCTGAGGTCGAAGAGGTTGCTGCCTGTGTTCTCCTTTAGGATTTTGATGGACTCCTGTCTGACATTTAGGTCTTTCAACCATTTTGAGTCTATTTTTGTGTGTGGTGTAAGGAAATGGTCCAGTTTCATTCTTCTGCATGTGGATGTCCAATTTTCCCAAAACCATTTGTTGAAGAGACCGTCTTTTTTCCACTGGACATTCTTTTCTGCTTTGTCGAAGATGAGTAGATCATAGAATTGAGGGTCCATTTCTGGGCTCTGTATTCTGTTCCATTGATCAATGTGTCTGTTTTTGTGCCATTACCATACTGTCTTGACAATTACAGCTTTGTAATAGAGCTTGAAGTCCGGAATTGTGATGCCACCAGCTTTTCTTTTCTTTTTCAACATTCCTCTGGCTATTCGGGGTCCTTTCTGGTTCCATACAAATTTTAGGATTATTTGTTCCATTTCTTTGAAAAAAGTGGATGGTATTTTGATAGGGATTGCATTGAATGTGTAGATTGCTCTAGGTAGCATTGACATCTTCACAATATTTGTTCTTCTAATCCATGAGCATGGAATGTTTTTCCATTTCTTTGTGTCTTCCTCAATTTCTTTCACGAGTATTTTATAGTTTTCTGAGTACAGATTCTTTGCCTCTTTGGTTAGATTTATTCCTAGGTATCTTATGCTTTTGGGTGCAATTGCAAATGGGATCAACTCCTTAATTTCTCTTTCTTCTGTCTTGTTGGTGTATAGGAATGCCACTGATTTCTGTGCATTGATTTTATATCCTGCCACTTTACTGAATTGCTGTATGAGTTCTAGCAGTTTTGGGGTGGAGTCTTTTGGGTTTTCCATATAAAGTATCATATCATCTGCAAACAGTGAGAGTTTGACTTCTTCTTTGCCTATTTGGATGCCTTTTATTTCTTTTTGTTGTCTGATTGCTGTGGCTAGGACTTCTACTAGTATGTTGAATAGCAGTGGTGATAGTGGACATCCCTGCCCTGTTCCTGACCTTTGGGGAAAAGCTCTCAGTTTTTCCCCATTGAGAATGATATTGATGGCTTTTATGATATTGAGGTATGTACCCTCTATCCCTATACTCTGAAGAGTTTTGATCAAGAAAGGATGTTGTACTTTGTCAAGTGCTTTTTCTGCATCTATTGAGAGGCTCATATGGTTCTTGTTCTTTCTTTTATTACTGTATTGTATCACATGGATTGATTTGCGGATGTTGAACCAACCTTGCAGCCCAGGGATAAATCCCACTTGGTTGTGTTGAATAATCCTTTTAATGTACTGTTGGATCCTATTGGCTAGTATTTTGGTGAGAATTTTTGCATCCATGTTCATCAAGGATATTGGTCTGTAGTTCTTCTTTTTGATGGGGTCTTTGTCTGGTTTGGGGATCAAGGTAATGGTGGCCTCATAAAATGAGTTTGGCAGTTTTCCTTCCATTTCTATTTTTTGGAAGAGTTTCAGAAGAATAGGTATTAATTCTTCTTTAAATGTTTGGTAGAATTCCCCTGGGAAGCCATCTTGCCCTGGGCTTTTGTTTGTTGGGAGATTTTTGA